CCCGGCGGCGGGGGAGGCCCGGGGTACGTGCTCCCCTCTTGCGCCTCCTTTCCCTCCCCTTCTCGCCGTTGCCCGCACGTAGACTGCTGCAGTGGTATTCCTTGTCCCAGTTGCCTTCAACTTCATGTGACTTTTAGATAAGTAAATCGTTGCTGTTCAGGTGTGGGGGGGTTAAGTGGGGTTTATATTTAGTTAGCCAGGGTAGGCTGGCGCTCCGGGCGGTGGCAGATAAGGTGAGCCCTGCCCTGCCTTTGGTGCGGCGTCCTGAGGCACGCACTGCAAACGTTGAATTTGGTTTCTGTGCCGTCAGCAAACACACACGTGCTCTGCCCGGTGTGATCCGTGGTACGGCAGCGCACGCAGCTGAGTGCTCCAAAATGGTTTCCACGGGATTTTCAGTCCCTGTGACTTACACGCATCTCAGACGACGCAGCGGTGTTCAGGTGTTTCTCTGTCTCCTGTTGGAGACTCCCTTGTTGGGAGTCGCAGTGTTGCAGATTTCGAAGATCTCTGCTGGTCTTTGCTTCCTGAAATAAAACTCCACGGGGTCCAGTCGCGTGGTGCCTGCTCTGCCATGGAGTGAGTGTGTGACCTCCGGAAAAATCAATTTATATCTGTCCTGGTTTCACAACCACTACCCCAGATACACGTGTGCCTTTCCCAACTGCTTTGAAACTGACAGAAAGAAATTACTCTTATTTTCCATGAAACTTGAAGGCTAGTAGTCTAAGACAAGCTTAATTCATTTTGTTCACCATATTTCTATACTCTCAGCTCCTTTTCCTGTGCAGTGCTAAGTATCAGAGGCTGAGAATGTGTCAGAGTGGAAAGTAGTGAGTAGATAAGGCTGACACACCTTTCTCTGGTGACAAGCTCAGTCTCTTTGCTACGGCGGCTGCTGGGGAGAAAAAGAGCTTTGAAATTTTTGCACACATGCTGTTTCTTGCCTTTCTTTCTAGTCTGTGATCTCTTAGAGTAGCTTCCAGCCAGGGAAGGTCTGGAAAAATAATTAAAATGCAACTCCCTCTCTTTACAGGTGGTGGAGTGGAGAAGTCCTTCTATTGCCTCCTCTACTCTCCAGTTTCCAGATTGCTATTTATGAAAAGGAGCTCATTTTCCAGTCCCTACCAACCTGCATTTTTTTTCTGCTGAATAGCTTAAACCTATGCCTCTGCTTCTGTTTTCAGTTTTTCTAAGCAGACTACGTGAAGGACTCTTGTCCGGATGCAGAACTCGCCCACACTTACCAGACGGGCTAATCAACAATTTGTTAAATTTATTCTCCTTTTCAAAAATTGAAAGAGGAATAGCAGTAGACAAACTGGAGCAAACTTGGCATTACCCATGTATATCCAGTTCAAATGCAAATAATGCATTTTCTTTAATCTTTTTTTTCTGAAAACAGGGCAGTTCTGGCATGTATCTGACCTACATTTAGATCCGACTTACCACATTACCCCTGATCGCACCAAAGTTTGTTCTTCTTCCAAAGGAGCCAATGCCTCCAACCCAGGCCCTTTTGGAGACTTTTTGTGTGATTCTCCATATCAACTTATTTTGTCAGCATTTGCATTCATGAAGGATTCAAACCAGCAGGTTTCGTTCATGATTTGGACGGGGTAAGTGTTCAAGTCACTCTGCAGTTAAAGCTTTTATCAGCTGGATAACCATATAGTGCGGTAATTCACAAGTTTATATTTGCACCAACAGATCTGAGTTTAGTATCTCACAAATGCTACTTTTAAATAGTCCCTTTAGTTGTCCGAATGGCTAATAAGTGGAAGACTGAGTGAGAATATAAGGCCTCAGGAACAGATTTCGATCTCTGTAATCATTTCTGGATATTGTTGGACTGTTCATTGGGACATTTACCACATGACTGTATTAGTGCAAGTTAATAGAAATGGCGCGGGGAGGGTGGGAAGTGGAAAAAGCAAAAAGAAAGGTCAGAGGAATAACTGACTGGAATGAATTATTATGGGAGGTATTGGATTTTGTAGGTCTTAAGGTCATGAAATCTAAAGTGCATCCCTTTTTAGAAGATACTCTTTAACTATATTTTATTTGGCTCTGTAAGAGGTAACTAGAATCAAGCAATACTATAGCTTATGTATTTTTTTTTAAAGTGTATACAGTTACCATTCAGGTTCGGTGCCTGTATGAATTCAAGATCAGGGGCTAGCGGGGGGAGGATAACAGTGTTGTAGATGCTGTCTCTCTCTTCATTACTCATAGCTGCATGTGCTTCTAAAGAAAATGTGGTTTCACGGTCCCTCATTGCAGTATTTTGGATGTGTGCAGTCCCCTGTTGAGTAAAACGTTTACCTTTTCTGTGCTGATCTTCCTTATTAGAAAATGGGCATAATAATACTCTCTCTCTCACACAGGTGTTATCTGTGAGGCTTTGTGTGCCTTAGCAGTGGGACTGGAGAAAGAAGTGTGAAAGGGAGGCATATGAGTTAGTACCATGCCCTGTTACTTTCTAGGTATTCATAAAAGATAGCATTAATTTACGCTTCTGCCACAGCAAAATTGTCCATTCTGCCATCACATAATTTTTTATGGTATACATCAATGGATAATTTATCAAAGAGATTAGTATCTTTTGAGTGTTTGTGAGAACTAGTTTGTTTATCAATGACGGGGTCTTTTTGCTGGAAAGGTTATATATGTTGTGTCACTTAATTTTGCTTGGGGAAGGGTGTTAGGAAATACGAATATGTAAAGACAAGTGATTAATTTATTTCACTTACCTTATTGTACTACATTTTCAACAGGATGTTGTTAAACGGGGAAAAATAAACTTACAAGGTTGTGCAGATGATGAAAGATACCTAACCCAATGTTAAACGGGGAAAAATAAACTTACAAGGATGTGCAGATGATGGAAGATACCTAACCCAAACTGCTCAGTAGCTCAAAATGATGGAGTTGAATTAATTTAATTTCTCAGGAATCTCAGTTATGATAAATGTGAATCATAGGATTAAACATTAGTCTACTTGTTTGGTTTTTTTAAAAAAAAGCCTTTGCAGAGAGCCTTTCAGGCAATTCTCTGAATTTAATTAAAGAGTCTATAGTAGTATTACATGCTAGAACGTAGATGTGTTTGCAGAATTTTTTGCCTTTCTTTATGTTGCTAATAAACCTTTGTTAATAAAGCCTTTTCCTTTTTCAGAGATAGCCCTCCTCATGTTCCTGTAAAAGAACTCTCCACAAAGTTGGTCATTAGCATCATTGGCAATATGAGTTCTACAATTCGTAATTTCTTTCCAGATCTTCAGGTTTTCCCAGCCTTGGGCAATCATGACTACTGGCCACAGGTAAAACAAGTTAGAAATTTGTTTATGTATCATATCGAGTGTGTTCCTAACCCCTCAGAAAGCAGGTGTGAAAAATAAGAGTTAAACTTGTGTAACTATTATTCTGGAAACAGTATTCTACAATTCTCCAATTAGCATTTAAAATTATAAATAGTTCCAATCAAGAACAGAAAGTACATCTCTCTCTGTGTGTTAAGTTAGCCAAGCAAACGTTGATGTCAGGTAAAATCTGTACGTTGCCTGAGGTCATGCAGATTTACTGCTAATCGTTCCTCATGGCTTAGAACCAGTAGGTCTCATCATAGTTAGTACACACTTATTTTTTTCTCGCTGTGTAAGTCATGCACGTGTGTACAATAACTTAATCTAACAGAAATGACACCCTTAATGGATCTGTGAGCGCGTGGTAGGATTCAAGGCCTACTGAAAGACCTACTGGAAATCTGTCTGCTGACATCACTGGATTTTTTTTATCAGACTAATGGCAGAATTTTTGTAATGTTCCCATAGTTCTGCCACTATTATTAAAAATAATGTCTTTTTTTTCTTTCCTTATTGGACACTTAGAAATGTTCGCATTGATGATTTACTGGATATGTGCGCCATTGCAGCTGAGGAAAGTGCTTTTTTACTTTCAGTGTTCTGCGAATATTGTTCTTGGCATAGCTCAAAAGTAAACAGTTGCTTCATGTGTCCTTTAAAGCATATTGTGGATTGATCTGGCAGCACACAGGACTGAGAAGCAAATTCTGTCATTGGATCTGAGGGGATCGGAAGGGATGTGGAGCAGGTCAACTAAAATACTTTGTTTGAAATGCCTAATGGGAATTCAGTAACACCCCTTCACACCCCCAAAGACTTTTATTCCAGCTTTCTGTGTTAATCATGAAGCCTATCAGGGTATATCTTGGTGTAGCAGGTGATTGTATCATTGCCTGTATCATTGCTGGAGTTAGTGAGAGACAAAATAAGAGCTAAACATATCTTGGAAATGCGAGTGCATAAAACAAGCTGGGACTTCAGTCTCTTGTGTTCTTACTCTGGTAGTATAGCTTCAGCTTGTCATATGCACTGACAGGGGGCCAGGTTGGTTCACCAGAAACCACTGGTAAAGTATTTTGATAAATAACACCTTAACTGAAGTCTCACTCAGTGTTTTGTTTTCATTTTGTTTTGTTTATTAAAAAGTCTTAACAGAGAATAGTTGTCATTCAGCAGTCTCCTTTGATACAGAAGAAAAAACCTGTATACAATAACATGGTAAACAAAGAATGTAGTGACTTTTCCAACAAATACAAGTTTTGTTTGTGAAACTACATCTGAAGATAGAAAAAAGATGGTCAGGAGGGGCAGACGGGCAGCAAATAGTATTCTGAAGCAGGCTGCTGATTGGAATAACTGTTGTAGTTCTCTCTGCACAAAACCACACAGGGCAGGCTTCACCAATGTGCAGAACTGACATACTTTTCCGTTACTGTTTGAAAAAGACCATGGGATCAGAAATTCCCCACTATGGGGTCATTTCAGGTTGTTGGATTTTTTTTTTTTTGTCGTTGATGACATTTCTGTTTTTCATATGGACATGCTTGGCAAATGTCCCGTAGACTGGAAGTGATGTGGAGCAAGCCACACATTGTAGGCTGTTCCAGAGCAAGTGTGAAAGCTGCATGCTCACCATGCACCAAAGGATTTTACTGTTCTCTATTGTGTTGTGACCTGTCTGTCTGAACAATTTAATGGTCTTGGGTGATTTTTCTTGCAGAGCCTATTAAAAATACTACTCAGGTTAATCAAGCATTGGGGTACCTTTCAGATCGTATATTGTGACCTCGGTCTTTCTGCATAATCTTATATGTTTCGCATCCTTGCCCCTGCTTAAAACAAGTTCCCGAACTGCTGTCTAATCCACGAGTTCACAGAGCGCTGACTTGCCTGTGTCCAGACCGCCTTCGGTCCATAACATGGCCTCTTATCTGAGATCAGGTTTTGCTATGTCTGTTAGTGACTGTTAGCTCTGGCTGAACTGGTATGGCTCAAAGCTTTCTTAATAACTCGTATCTGTGCACTGCAAGCAACAAATGTCTCAACAGACTTCTGATTGCACTAGTCCTAGACAGGGACTTAGTGCCTAAGCCTCTAATAACGTAGGTTTAGTTTCAGAGATCTTAGAAGGGTCAAATTTTATGTTTAAGAAAACATGCACTGTAGTACTGTTCCTATTTTTTGACCTCTGTTTGCTGCTTCTAGCACCGAGAATCCAAGCAGATATTTTAGGAAAGGCAAGGACAGGCTGGGATCTTCTGTCAGGGTTAGATGAGAGCATGGCTCTTACCAGGCTGTGGTGCTTGGGCATTGCTTGGCTCAGACTGAAGAGTGCTACAGTCCTAATTAGAGCCGGTGGGAGAAAACATTGACAGAACTTTATTTTTACATTTTAAATGCTTTGTTACTAGAACTACAGGGTATCAAGGAAATACTTGTGAATTTCACCAGAATGTTTCTGAGGGCCATAGTAGAGTTTTGGGGAGCTGCTAGGAACCCCGAGTTGCTTGAAAAATTCACCTTCTATAAAAGCAGCTTATGTTCAAGCTTTTCCTCCAAGGTACTTTATTTTTAGAGTTTGAATCTTCAGGTTATATATTTATTAATTTTGCAGAATGTATGGTTTTCCCCTCTGCTGTACTCCTAAGGCTTGAAAGATTTCTGGCAGTAGTTTATCAATGCATTAACAAGGCCACGCAGTCAGTTCTGACTAAGTTCAGGCATTTGTTCCTGATCAGCAATACTGGATGTTCAGAAGTTTTTTTCCCTTTCTTGAGTTCCTCCTGTTGATGACTGGATATACTTACGTGTTACGCGAGGGGTCAGGTGGGATAATTCAGTGATTTTTTTGTCTGTGTGTCTGAATGCTAAGACTTAGGCAGGTTCTGCTCTCTCACAGGATCAGCTTCCTGTAACTACCAGTGAAGTTTACAATGCTGTAGCAGATTTCTGGAAACCTTGGCTAACTGATGAAGCAATCAATACCTTCAGAAAAGGTAAAATATGCCAGTAATGCATTGTAAAGCTAGGGCTTAGAGAACTAATGTTTCTATAGATTTGTCCCATTTGTTTAGCTAAGTCTCGTAGGATGAATCAGCACAATGGATTATCTGTAATGCTTCTCCTGGAAGAAGTTATTTGTCTTTCTGAATAGCAATGCTTATCTTCATGGTACATTTATTCTCTTCTGATGCAATAATTATTGCTTCTTGTAACCTGTACAGTATTATTGGCTTTGTACCAATGCATGTGAAATATCTTATTGCCTTCAAGACCTCATAATGCTTTTTAGATCAAGGTGTATGATGCACAAGAAGACTTAGATTTGGTTGTAAAAAACTGATGAAATGTTGTTTCTGTTTCGATACTATATGTATTTCAGAGCATATTGAATAGGCACATATTTGTTCATGTTATGATAGCACATAGTTTTGGTGATTATACTGTTAATTGCATCCATCATATTTGCGTCCAACTTACTAAACTGGGAGAATATTGATATCCTAATTATGATTTTTCTTTTTAGTGAAGGACTGAAAAGTTCAACCCAATTTCCAATCCACTCAAACGTTAGGGATTTGGAAGTTTAATTTGTGTTTTTGTGTCCTGAATGAGAAGGAACTCTGGGTAAGAGTGGAAGTAGAAACTCTAATAGGAAAAATAAAACTCAAAGGGGCAGACCTTAAGTTAAGGTGTATTGGTATAGCTCTGTTGCCATGGCTCCACTGAAGTCCATGAACTACGAAATTGCACCCATTGAAGAAGCTCTGTATGCCATGCAGAGTTTTAGGAGCTTGGATTGAAAAATGTGATCTTTACTTTTCATCATACTCCAGTCTGAAGTTAAATGACTCTCAAAGTACAAGGCTACTAAACTCAAACAGTTCTTCCTGGAGGAACTTACATGTTTGCAGTATTTCAAGAAATGTGGACTTTTTAACAATTACTGCATCTCTTAGTGTGGAAGAAATGTTACAGGGCACTTCTTGTGTGTCAGTTGGATAATTGCGTCTGAAAACTGACAAATAAACACAAAGGCAATTACAGGCAAGAATTCATAAAAAAATCAGTGTCAACTTCTCCTACTAAAATGTTGCTAAAACCAGATTCTTAAGATGTTCTGTTGTGATAAGGTGATGCATGGCTTGAATAAACATGCCATACTCTATTTTATTAGAGAGAGTAAGGCTGGGTATTTTGTCAGTGCTGTACTTTCATTCTGAAGTTGTGCTTTGAAGCCTTTCATTTTTCAGATGATGTTGGTCTTATTTTCACAGGTGGCTTCTACACACAGCTGTTTGAATCCAGTGATAGCTCTCAACCACTCAGGATAATCAGTCTGAACACAAATTTATATTACAGTCCCAACAGTGTAACTGTGAATATCACTGACCCAGCCAACCAGTTTGCCTGGCTGGAGGGAATATTAGAAACCTCTTCACAAAAGAAGGAAAAGGTAGGGGCTGTGAACAGAACCTGTCAGCATTATTTGTTTAAATGTTGAAAAGATTTAAAAAAAAAAAAACCAACAATGAAAATATAAACATGATTCTAGAAGAATATTAATGCTGCCAAAGATACTGCAAAATCAAAATTTCATTTTTTTAAATAATTCTTCCTTGAATATGCACATTATACTACAACAATTAATAAAATAGTTGAATGCAGTTTCTCAAATTATACAGTAAAATACCTTGTCTTTCCTACAATGTAAGATACTGTAGAAGCCAGGATGAGAATATGTAATACTTTCACTTTTGTTTCTTGACTCTTTTTACTCATAGCCTTTAATTTTAAAATGTGCACCCTTGGCCTGAGACAAAAGCTACCATATTTCATTTACATTTTTATGTAACTACAAGTATCAAAAATAGAAATTAGAAAGGAGTTTGTCAACCACAAAACATAGCCAAGCTGCAGCAATTGCTATGATTTGAGTGTTATAATAAATTGTCTTACAATGCTCAGGTTTTGAAGTGAGGTTATAAATTGTTGGCTCATGTTTGATTGATTGGTGCGGGGATTGGGTCATCATCTGACCAGAAAAAGTGTTTAATTTGAAACATATTTATGTTTTGCTACGGTGTTGTAATTTTAAAAATATTATCTTACAGTCGGGAGAAAGGAGAGATTTCCCTTCCTCATAAAACCCTGCAGCATATTAGTTGGTGTGTGCAGTTGGAACCAAGTCTCAACCTCAGACAGAGGGGTTTTAACCAGTTCTTCCATGTTTCTGGTGACTCTCTGACCATGCAGGCTCTGTAATACTCTAACATAGTTTTTCTTACTGTCCCCTTGAGATGCCAAATCATAAGTCTTGCCCTAGTAACTTATTTTTTCATTAGAAAGAATTGATCAAATTTTCCTTTGGCCTAAAATCACACATAAATTTATCGGAACTTTTTTCCCAAGAGTATACTGAATTCACTTAAAAAAATTACTCATTTTTTCTCATTGTGAATTTAAACATTCTTACTGTTTGTATTTTGTATAACAAAACTGTCGTGATTTATAGCTTTCAGAATGCCATTTCTGAGATAGAAATGGTTACCACAATTTCATAATAATGCAAAGTTACAGATAAAATTTTAAGTTTCAAATGAAGGTACTAATTGTGCTTTCTGTATCTAATTCCTTAGGTATATATAATAGGACACGTACCAATAGGATACTTGCCATATGCAAGGAATACTACAGCTATCAGGGAGTATTACAATGAGAGACTGGTAAAGATTTTTCGCAAACACAGTAGTGTTATTGCGGGGCAGTTTTTTGGACACACACATAGAGATAGTATCATGGTCCTCCTGGATGAAGAAGGTAATGATGCTTGTTGAATCCTTCATCTTTTTCTTCTTGATTAAAAGCAAATTAATACTTTCTTGCATGTTCTTACTAGTCAGCTTCTGTTATAAATCATTGAAAAAGGGAATTGGGAAATACTGCTATTTATCTACAAGAGTTCAAGCCTCACACACTCCCAATTTTTTTTCCAAAGAGAACCTTGCAAGGCAGACTGTCTTTTTTTGTTGAAGTCAGAAGAGACTCCCCAAACTCCCTATATTTTTTTAATGAATGCTTATGCCTAGACAAGAATTTCTAGTCTTTCCTCTCCACTCTCTCAGTGACACGGGCAAATTGTACTAGCCAGTTGCTATTGTGTAATGTGTCAGAGGGAATGTTCTCAGGCCAACTAGACATGCTCTATGTTCTTGTGTTTCCTGCATCATTACTGTGCCTCTCTGCTGAGTTCCCTGCTGCTTCAAAGTTAATTAAGATAAGGGTAAGCAGGAGGCAGGGGAAAGAAAGTCTCTGCCTGTTGCATCTCTTAGATCAGCTAATTTCCGTTCAAGAAAAGCACCCAGGTTTGAAAATTTTGTTTACTGCTTTGAAATCCCTTAGTTTAAGCATGGGCATGGCCGTATGGAGCACTCTAACATCTCTAACAGAAGATCTCTAACAAGTAACTGGTTAAGTATTTGTGTCTGTACCATAGAACAGGTATGTGAGAGGTCCATTGCTTTGGTTTATGTAAAATACCCAAATATTAATTGGCTCTTTATCTATGTTTTGTGTGAACTCATAAAAGCAATGCCAAAATGCTGACTGGGGTAACAGTATTCTAAATAATTTACCTTTTTACATGCCATTGTCATGGAATTGATCTCCAGTAAAAAGGAATCCAGCCCTAGTGAAAGAACTGGCGCTAGAGGTCCATTGCTTTGGTTTATGTAAAATACCCAAATATTAATTGGCTCTTTATCTATGTTTTGTGTGAACTCATAAAAGCAATGCCAAAATGCTGACTGGGGTAACAGTATTCTAAATAATTTACCTTTTTACATGCCATTGTCATGGAATTGATCTCCAGTAAAAAGGAATCCAGCCCTAGTGAAAGAACTGGCGCTTTTTTTTTAAATGGTATTCAAGGCATTCTTATACCTACGTTTTTGTACCTCTAGTGAAAAAACTGGCGCTTTTTTTTTTTTTAAATGGTATTCAAGGCATTCTTATACCTACGTATTTTTGTACCTTGTCTCATCTGGGCATGAAATCATCACCTCTACTGCAAATTTCACTGAGGACAGGCTGATCTTGGTGTGTTGTCATAGTTTGCATGTGCAAGTAACTGCTTCCAAATTATTTTAATAATTTTGCATCTTTTGACAAAATTTAAACAGTGAAATTGCATATAGCTAAATACAGTTTGTGCTTATCTGTACAGTTTTAGGCTGTCTTCTATTCATGCCATTTTCCTCTTGACAAAATTCCAGAGAATTCAAGATAAATGTAATACTGTAGCCAACATGAGTGTGCTGAGATACAGAGCTCAGTTTTATCTTCTCCAGAAGAATCTACTGATTTCCAAGCTTTCAAAGCTTCTACTCATATGTGGAGACTGACCTTGTGATTTCACTGCTGTGAAGTTGTCAGAGTAAGGAATAGTTAGGGCTTCTTTTTTGTTCCACAGAGAACCTCTCAATATACTTACCTGCATATTCTGTCTAGTTAAAACCCGTGTACATCCTCATTGTTTCAGTTGCTGTAAAGATAGGCGTTCACATACTAGGTGCTGGGCTAGTCTAGATGAGTGAAGTCGGGGTCAGGTGATGATACCCTGGTGTTCCTAATAACATCATAAATACATAAAGCAAAAAATACATAAAGCAACATGTAAAATATAGCATGGAGACAGCAACTAAAAGTTTTGAATATTTCTTCAGTAGAAATATGCAAAATACAGAGACCTTACATATAGGCAAGACCATTTTGCACAGGTAGCTGAATTGGTGGGAAGCCTCTAGTATAGACAAACTTAACTGGTGCACACTGGAATGTGTAGTGTGGTATTTTACACAGATTTTGGTCTATCCAGTGGAAGTATAGGAGGAGTTCACAGTGATACAGCTAATCCAGTGGAAAAAAAAGCTTATGTACCTAAGCCAGTCACTCTGGTTCTTGCTGTGTTGATTCTCTACAAAAACATTTGTCTGAGAAAGAAATGATCGAAAGGAAACTGTTTCCACACCTTCCCTCTTCCTGCAGAAAAGCCAGTAAATTCCTTGTTTGTGGCACCTGCTGTAACCCCAGTGAAGAATGTATGGCAAATGGAGTCCAATAACCCTGGCGTCAGATTGTATCAATATGATCTTCTTGATTATAGCTTGCTGGTAAGTAAAGATTTTAAAGCATTGTTTAAGACTTTAAATACAGTGTCCTTAAAAATTACAGCGAGATGTCAGCCTTTGTCGTATTATGGCTATTGGTGGAACTTTGGTGCTTACTCTTACTTTTCTTCCTGGGCAAAGGAAGGGAAATCTGAAAGAGAACTTGGTCAGTCTTTCTGTGCCTGCAGGACTGCCCAGTACTTCCTGTTCTCTATGAAATATTTTTACGACGTAGAATCAAAGACAGTCGGAAATTTTCTGGGCAGAATCCTAAAACTATTTGCAGGGAGCTCTGCAATGGTGAAGAAGGTTCACCTAAATCCTGGGCTTGTTTACCTACCAATGTTGTTTGCTGGTGGTAGCCTGAGCTTTGGGATGCAGTCCATGAAATGCTTCTAAAGGGTGTAGAAGAGCAGATGAAGAAAAGCACTTTTTAACCATGTGATGTCTTTCATAATCATGCATCTTCCTATATAGAGTTTATACTTTTTATAGGAAATTATAGATAAATTTAGAAGGAAAAAAGTAGAAATCTTCTATTCTGTAGTCTCATATGATTCTTGGAGGTTAAGTGAATCCTGTATAATTATTTTGGCTCTGAATGACTCGGATATTCTCTCTAATTCAGGGTAAAATCTTGACCTTGCTGAGTTCAGTGGCAATGCATCCTGCAGCTTGACTGGGACTGGGGTTTCTCTTTGGAGACCTATGCTAATACAGGCTGCTCCTTTCTTGTGCAGATTTCACTCCTGCATCTCCATCTCTCCCTTTCCCTTAAATTCTCCCTGGGCCGTTCTTTTTCTGTCCATTCTGCCCCTCAAGCAGTGCCTGCAGAAAAGAAACTTCTGGTTCTCACCCTTTTGCTCCACTCCTAAAGCAGACATGAGCATAGTGGAGTTTGGTTTACAGTTTGGACAGGAAAGACCTCTAACACTGCCGCTGCTGCCTTTTGTGGCTCCTTTTTCCTCTCCTCCCCACCCCCCCACCATTACCGCACTGCAAGTACCAGCTTTGGGTGTAAGCCCAGCTCTTGGGGTAGGACGTGACCTTCTATTCAGTTGTGAATAATGAGGAGTGACAGCTTCCTAATCAATATATCACTCTAGAGACTTAATGAAGCAGGGAAGAAAGCAATACAGGCGTGCCTATTTTTTCTTTCTTTTTTTTTTAACTGTAGGATCTTTGGCAGTTTTACTTGGACCTCAGAGACGCCAACAAGAAAAATGAATCAAACTGGAAATTAGAATACATCCTGACTAAAGCTTACAGCATTGAAGACTTGAAGCCAGAAAGCCTATATGAAATGGCCAAGCAGTTGTCTGTGCCACACAGCACACTGTTTGAGCAGTATTACAGTAACTTCATTGTGAGTTATGACAAAACCATTGTCTGTGAAGAGGGGTGCAAGACCTGCCAAATATGTGCAATCCAATATTTGGATTACTCCTCATACACAGATTGTATCAATCGGGAAGCAACGTGGAGATGAAGTCTCCATGCAATTTATGCTGATACTGACTTTAGCCTGTGATTTAAAGAACCTGCTCATCCTTTCGCTCAAGCACTGACATGCTGACAAGGAGCCTGTGGGACTTCTCTGAATTTCAGGGGAGCAATAAATCTCCCTAGATCCTTCTTCTTGTAAACGTGTTTTCCTTCCACATCTAAATAAAAGTTTATTGGCTATGTAACAGTGGCCAGATTGCTGTTGTTCAAGTGTCCTGTACCCTCTGTAACAGGCATCCCAGTATGGGGGAATAGAAGTTACTCACTCAGTTCTTTGGAAATCCAAGTCTCTTTTCTCAGGGTGTATAAACGTAGGCAATGCCATTTCAGGCATGGGATTTGTATGGGGGCAGGTTTCAACCATCTGCTGTCACAATTTGCAAACTGAAATCTGCAAAACCCACATTTGCTGAGACTGGAGTGCAGTTATGTTGTTGATGCGGTGCCAGTATTAGGTATCTCCCTGTGCCAAGTTTCCTTTTCCTTCTTAACCCCTTAAACCCACCTCTGTTTAGGGGCATACTATAAGGACAGCAGGAAAGTGACTTAATGGACCACAAACCTCCATCCTGTAAATACTTAATGCATTTTTTCAGAATGTGTGTGTTTGCCTAGCACAAAGTGCTTTTTTCGTATGATAGAGCTATGTACATTGGTACTGCTATCAAGCAGTCTCCTGGTATGAGATTTTGCAGCAGACCATAAATCAGCTTTAAATTGGTCAACATCACTAATTAGACATAGCATATACATTCTCTGTGCAGCACAGGAAAACACGCACTTGTCATGGTAGTTTCTCAGATTTCTTTTTTCGTAGAGCAGTCTAGTACTTAATGTGAAGATGTATGAATTTATAATTGCACAGACCACTTCTTCCTCTTCTTGTGGTTAAATGTGTGCACAAGATGGTGATATTAAGAAGGCCGTTTATCTAGTGTGTATAACCAAGAAGGACCTTTACCCATTTTTCTGTCACATCAAGAGCTATACTTTTGGAACCTTTGGTTAATATAATACCATAGAGACCCTACTCTAGATAATATTATTCCAGAGTAACTGGAGCTGTAGAAGTGGTTATGAGACAAATCCTGACTAACTCTTAGAACTAGAATAGAGTGGTATGCTGTTGGGCATCTTGCTTCCTAGATTTAACTTTTTTTTCTGTGTCAGTAGATGTTATTTAGTGAGCATGAACAAATAAATGCCTACAAATGTCTAAATAGCAAGCTACGATCCAGACATACTTTTTCTTAATCTGGACTTCAATTGAAGCCAAGAGTTGGATGGCATAAGCCAAGGAGGATGTTTTTGTTTCAGCCAGAGAGATCTATCCACCAGGGTTACATTTAGCCAGGGTATATCCTCAAAGATGCACCTTGTTATGCAGGCTAGTGTTCTCTGCTTCTCCTGTATGTAACTATACTCATGCAAGTGCAAGCATAACTGGCCAGGAAAGATCCAGGAGTATGTTTGACTGCATCATCTTGTAACTCAGATGTAAACCAAGGAGAGAGCTGCTAGGAATGTTACACTAAAAAACGTGAGGTAAGTCACATGAACAGCTTGGATGCCCCCTGGGTGTAAGGGAAAATAGAGGACAACCATGATATTTTTGTTTCAGGTTCCTACTTTATTCCTTCATGGATCTAGGAATGTTCTAAAGGTAAGTTATCCTTTCCCGACAGAAACTTTTTTAAGGAATCATTTAAGAATCTTTAAAAGAGGCATGACCTGATAAAGTTGCTGACTCCTGTGGACCAGACTCCCGTTTCACTTTTCATATGGTATTTTGTGGCCTCATCTTGAAGGAAGGATTAGGGGGAATATTTGTAAGGCCGCATTTGACAGAAAGACAAATTACACCACCTAGTGGAGTACAAAGCTTTTCATTTACCTACAATTAAACTTGAGGCATATAAACAAGGAGAGTCATTTCTCAAATATTTTAGGGTTTAACTTCTAGTATTTGAAGATAAGTAGTTTCTGAAGGAAGTACTGCTACTTCTTTGTAGGAGTACTGCCATGTAGCACACTTTCTCTGGGTATTAAATGGTTGCTGGCTCCTAGAGGCCATGTCACTTGGTGGATCCTGAAGCCTGCGGTAGGTGCAGGTCTCAGCCCACATCCAGGGAAGAACTGGAGCCTACGGAAGGGATCCTCAGAGTCCAGCTCAGCTAGCCAGCAGAAAAGGGATGCGACAGAAACCAAAGATCTATCCTTAAGCAGGCTGATGTCTCCTTCCAGTTAGTTTCTGTGCTTTAATTCTCTCCTGGAGTTAACTGTCTGAGCTTATGTCTACATTAACAGGTACTGCAGCCTAATAGGAGTGCTTTCTTTAACAGGAGAGTTGGTGCTGAGGAGCTGATGTGGCTGATGCACATTTCATTAGCAGTTGGAGGATGTTGGATGTACCCTCGAAGTGCAGCTGCCAACTGTGTTGCATCTGAAAGAGCACTCTCCAACATGAATAAAAGCACAGTAAGAGGGGATGATCAGTAAACTGTTCAAAGGTGTGCTCCTGATCCAAACTAAAGCGAAGGTGCACCCAGAGGCCAAAGTTAATTGCTTTAAATTGGGGCACTCAGTAGTGTTTGGATGTGATCTCACCATTTCTATTGTTTTTCACTTGCCAGCCTGAAGAAATTGAAATGACTGGAGGAGATGGGCAGTGAGTGAAGTGAACATATTGTTAGTAAAATTGAAGTGGTGAACTTAAGTTGTCTAAAGACAGAAATAGGTAACTAAGTACTTGTAGTCCCTTGTGGTCCATTTCCTGTGTGGACAAATGATGAGCACATAGCATCTTCAAGGATAAGTATCTAGTTTAACACTGTCATGTAAGTTCCCTCTGTGGAAACAGCAATCTCAAGAAGGTGAGTTGTCACATTGGTCTAAGAATAAAATCTCTTGAAGGCCCTCTCATGCCCAGTCAAGAGGAACTATGACAATGTCAGTGAAGAAAGGGACTGTAACTGTCCTAACAAGATTTTGCTTTCCTTCCTTATTTTCCAAAAGCTGAAGACTAGCTTTTATCTGCTTACCACTACAGCTTTCAACAAGAAAATACTGCTTTAGATAATTCACTTGTCATCTGTCAGCCCCAGGTTTCTTGTTCTGCTGGAGGAATATCCTACCTAGGAATTCTACCCATTTTGTTATTTGCTGGTCTGCAAAGAAGCCTAGTGTAAAATGAATGTTGTTTTCACACTGTGTGTGAAATATCACAATTGTAGAATTTCAAAGAAAACACATAGGGAAAAAAAAACCCAAAATATTAACCATCATATGTATGCTTCATTAGTTTCTGATGGTTGTGGGAATGGCAAAGGCACTGTACTGAGTGAACGTTGCCAGTGTGCAACTGACGAACACCGTACATCAATTCCTGTGAAAGTAGGTATCAGGAGAGTGGTCACAAGTAGGATGGAACATGCAGTAGGTGGATGACTGAAATCATAACAAGGGAATCACTTAAAACCAAAAATGTTGAAAGTAAAACCACTGGAAATGTGGCAAACCCCAGCTCCAAGGACTTAGTGAAGCAGTGGAAAGAGCACTGATGTGCTTACAGATGTGGCCAAATTACAGCTTTTCAAGTGCAACTTACGATTCCTTCAGTGGTAGAGCTATATTGAAAGACTGTCTGGGAAATTCTTTCTATTATCTGCATTTCTATCAAGTTGTGATCTGAATCTACCTGTCAAATGTGTTACAGCTAATTACTGAAATACTCCTCCATCATGTCTTCCAGCTTGCACTGGATAAGAAAATTGGACACTCTGTTCTTGTACCCTATAAACTCTTTGTTGGATTTTAAAGCAACCAGTCAGACATCAGGAATAATTAAGCTGGAGAAGTTTCAAATGTGGAGCTGGGCAAAAAAAGTTTTTCCCATCCTGAGAAGCATCCTGAGATTTCAATATTTCCCACTGGAATAAAACCAAGACCTTGTTGAGGTTTTAGGCAGGGGGATATGCAAAGTGGGGATTTGCACCTGAGCCTGCCACCTTCCCCCTCAAGCACTTGCTGTGCATCTGTCACAGTGTTGACTATGCTTTCTCCTTCTAGCCTGGAACTGAACAACTTTCTAAATTAAAATTTTCATTGGAACTGTTACATTTATATAAAACTGATATTGACACAGCATTTTCGACTGAAAACTGTTAAGCAATTCTCAAGAACTTCTCCTACATGCTATAAAGTTTGACACCTTGCCTGTCCAACACAGTACATGCCAATGGATACATTGCAGCAGCTTTTTTTGTCCTATATAATCTATGATTTTTGATAGTTGGTGTGGGCCAGATGATCAGCTAGTAAAAACTGACTTTGGACCACTGAAATTAGTGAAGCGATGAATTAATTAATAAAGTAATTAATAATCCTACTTGAGATTAAGGAATGGGTTTTCAAAAATACCTAAAAATATTTCCGTGTGACATAATGCAGTCCCACCTGGAACTGAACAAGCAGACTCAAGTAGCAGTAGCAGAGTAGCTGTATCAGTATAGTGCTTTTCCTGGAATAATTCCCCCTGTAGCCCAGAGTGACATGGTAACACAGCTATCCTGTTTCTCCTTCCAAGCTACCCTGGATGTTTGCCTGTATAGCATTGATTTATGGCACATAAATACATACCGACAGACTTGAGTGTACAAACCCGAATGAATTGTGCTCCCAGGTCTTGTGGTTTGATGTTTGTTGACTCTATATAGATGGACAACCCTTATACAGTGTTTCTAGGGAGGTGGGGCGCTCTGCATCTTGTGGATTTTGGCATTTACAAGAGAATTTAGAAATGCCTGAGGCTGCTAAACGATGGCAATTTCTCTAGGCTTTTGTATAAGCATTGAACTTCCCCAAATCTCCAGTATTCAGTCTAGCAGGATCTTCCTTCAAGTGGGAGTGGTGATAAAAGCCTGTAGTTGTGTCGCTCAAAATACATGCAGAAAGACTTCGCCCAGATGGGTAGGGTACCTTAAAACTCTTGCATGCTGCTCTGGCTTTTTTATGCCTTATAAAATGGGAAGCATCCATATTTAGACACTTTGAAAAGCCTTCCGTGGCCAACTTCTCATTCCTATTTTGTTGGACATTTCAGGCAGAACTTGTCCCATGTATTAGAATATTTTACACCTATGAAAACTGCCATCTGCCACAAAGCATTTTTAAACCAGTTGAAACTTGAGACTTTGGTAAA